CAAGCTTCTTTTTGGCCAATGATACTTTTTTTTGGGCCAAAAGTATTTTTTTCTAAAGTTCACGTGTTTGGCCAACCTTTTACAAGGAAAAAAGAATTTTTTAATAAAAGCAAAAGTAGTTTATGAAAAAGCAAAAAAAAAAAAATAACTTTTCTTCAAAAGTACTTTTTTGAATAACTATTTGAGAAAGATACACATAAAAGTACTTTTTAAAAGCTTAGTAAAATACTAATTGCTGCTCAAAAGTGATTTTCAAATTAATTAGCCAAACACAAACTCTTTTTCACCAAAAGTACTTTTTCGAAAAATACTTTTCAAAATAAGTTAATTTTAGAAGCTTGGTCAAACATGCTACTAATAACCATGTAAATTGGCTAGTGTAGTCTCAAAGATTAACACTTGGGAACTCAAATCGAGAGATGTGGAACCACATTATTCCTTAAACCTATATAGTAACTTTTTTCTTGGCCAAAAGTGTTTTTTCAAAGTAAGTGTTTGGCCAAGCTTTTTGAAGGGAAAAAAGTGCTTTTGAGTAGAAGCAAAATCAGTTTCTGAGAAGCAGAAACCCGAAAGCACTTTTTTCAAAAACACTATTGAGAAAAATACACTTAAAAGCACTTTTTAAAAGATTGGCCAAACTTTAATTGCTGCTCAAAAGTGCTTTTTAAATTGATTAGCCAAACACAAACTGATTTTTCACCAAAAGTACTTTTTTGAAAAGCACTTTTGGAAAAAACATTTCTCAAAATAAGCAGACATTAGAAGCTTGGCCTTGACCAAATATTATGATTCTTTACCCCTTAGTTACGACCAAACACTGCTATTCTTGAATACAGTACACTGCATGCATGAACTTCCTCTCATACATGTGAATCCGTTAATACAAGGAAAAGTCTGTTTGAAACCTTTTCTGACTAATATGTTTGAAACTGTCAATCCCTGACAGACCCATGCTTAACTTGGTGATGTTAAGCAAGAATGTTAAAATACCTACTCCTTAATAAGGCAATCCTTCTAAATTTCTAAGGGTCTTTCCTGTCTTGACCTTGCATGCAACTATGCTATAAGAATTAAGGTTATTCTACTCAATTCAACTGATCTCAACAATGAGCAATAAAGAACTCTTCTGACATCAAAGTGGTTACTTGAGCTTATCTTTGTGGCAAAGTAGTTATACTTAACCAAACAAGAAAAAGAGAAGCAAAAGAAACCTCAACAAGTAAGGCACTGTTGATTTCTGAATTATCCCCACTACCCATAATTCTTGGCAGATCCATCATAGCACTAATTCTATGTTGCTTGGACTCTCCGAAAATGTGGCCGGATTCGTGACGGATCCTCCAAAAGTAATGTATTTTTGAAGGATCCGACACGGGTGCGGCTACATTTGGGAGAGTCCGCACAACATAGAGCACTATAACAAGAGAACAATAGTCAAAAAGAGAACCAATTAAAGTAACACACAATTGTTATGCAAGTAGTAAGGTCAGTTTATTATAACACTGAAAACCAGAAATCCATAAGCATTCTGATAAACTACACAGTTTTATACAAACAAGACGACTAAAGGATTCAAGTCATTACAGTTAAGCTAGTATTCATGGACACTAGCAATAAGGATCATTCACATTTGAGGACATGTACCATTAGTAACTAATAGCTTCCTTTGTGCCACAAAGCGACTGGATCAGCAGCAAACATGATCATTAACTGCAGCAAGATCAAATAGAAAAATTAATACAAACAATTAATGGTTGAACCATAGGTATGAGAAATCAGAGTCTTATATCCTCAAACAGAACCATGTTAAGAAACTACACAAATACCCAAATAGATAAGTTACCTGCTTAAGCCCACAAGTAAATCAAGAAAATACAACCCATAAACAGATGACAACCGTGAAGTAAGAAAAATCAGATAGAGACTATATTTAACCTTAGCATTCATATCTGCCAAGATGCCAACATGATACCAAACAAATTAAGGCATGCCACGAATGAGTGAAATAAAATGAACATGACGGGATTAATGAATAGGAGTAGCTCATTAATTATGAGAACATCTAAACCAAAAAAAAAAAAAGATAAGAGGGATGGAATAAATATGTCAAAGCATAAAGGTTGAGAGCCAAGCATGGCACATGATATCCATTAAAAATTAACACCAACTGAAATAAGGTAGCAAGGCTTAGAATCACATTTGAGCTCGAAATGCGATGTATGCTGAGGCCTGAGCTATTAGGCGACCTAAACAGCATTCATGTTTAGGCTGCTCACACATGATTCTTGGCATTCGCAGCTCAACATACTTTTCCTAAAGTATCATTTTTCTTAATAATGATGGTATCCAAGCTAACATACGTGCAACTCGACTAATTCACCTGATACCTCCTAAATTAACATTTATACCCTACAATTTTGTTATCTGTGGGGATGCATAGTACATAATAAATATTGTACAAGTATATTATTTTTTCCAAGCACCTAAATATTAGGTTTGTTGGGATCTCATTTATCAAAATATATTTTTTAATAAAATTCACATTTATCGAACTAGTTAATCCACCAAGATTCCAAATTAGCACGAACTCAATGTATCAACTCTACATTAAGCAGGCAAACGAGTTATACTTCACCAATCTTTGAAAATCTCAACTGTCCGGAATAAACACTTTTTACGTCATCATCACAAAACCTATATATTAATCTTTGCAATCCGAACCCTAAGTTCAGTAAATGCAATTTCCTTAATCATATAATTATGCAGAAAAGAAAGATTGGCCAACTGTGGAAAGACAAAAGAAGCATTTCAGTAATTCATTTCATAGATATTATCATCATTATAAAAGACAGAAAAAATTAACAGACACGGTGGAACCCTAAATCTCTCTTTAGAATAGGTTTCTCAAACCTGAAAAATTATTACTATATTAATATTAATAATAATAATAACAATTATACAAGCACACATAGAAGATGCGAAAAAGAGCAAAATGGAAATGTATATTCATTGTTTCTGAAAAAGAAAATTTACTATAGCATATGGAAAACTAGCATAACATGTAGTTCCTCCCTAAGTGGCCAAACTAAGAAAGTCATCATGATTCATGCATGAATTATGTTTTTGGAAGCATTTCAAAATTCTGTAGCCCATGTCATGTAGACTGCTACTGAGAAAGTAGACAGCAGAAGTATATTATATTTTATAAACTGCCTAAGCTAAGTTGGAAAGCATTAAATGTAACTTGTGTCGAGTTCTTTACAATGCAACCGTACATCCCTATCAATCTCTAGAAAGTAGCACATGACAAGCGAGATAAGTACTCTAGGGAACAATGGTTCCTGTAAACAGCAACAGAGAGTTCCCACTATAGTACTTTAAGATATTTTAGAACGTAACTTTATATCTTACTCTACAGCTAGCAATCACTTACTGGTAATTTACCTTAAATTCAGTCCTAAACTGCTTGCATTCAGGGGGGGATGAAGTACATTAATTATAGAACCATATTCGAGAAACATCTAGAAAATATAGTGATAGCACCATTATTGTCCATTTCCAGAGAACAGAAGTCCAATTTTGACATGGTTTCTGCTGGATGAGGCTTTCGCTAGCAGCTAAACCAATGTAGTGCAAAAGTGAACTCTCTGTGTCTAAGATGCAATGAAATCAAATAGAAGGTGTCATGTGAGATATGGCAACAATGTACAGCTATTAATCAAGAGGGAATGGTGTACTGGTACTAGCTCCATAGGGTATACACAGTAGAGATTCAACTTCGTTTTAAGATACTGTGTATTACGTCCTTTAATTTTGTTCTTCATCCTCTACAATCATGATAAGTATAGGATCTTTACTTTTCTCTTTGTTCCCCTTCCTCTCCATTCAAATGCATTAACCTTAAAGAAAAGAGGGATCAAAGGAGGAAAAGAATAAAGAGGGATTTCAAGAATTTAATCTACCGGACAATGAGAATCAAATGGAATAATTTAACTCTTTTCTGGAAGAGATAGAAGTAAATCTAACTCGTTTACAAAAATGAAAACCATCCATTGACCATATATAATTACGGTTGAGCAAGAGGCTGAAATAACTCTAGTTAAGCTTTCAATTGAAAACAAGGCAAAGGTAAAATTGGATCATCCATTGAACACATATAATTTTAACCTAGATCTGCTCTCATACTCATCTATAACTATTACTAATAGCTTATCCAGAGTTTTTGAACCTGGCAATAAAATGAACCAGACAACAGATGAGTCATGAGTTACAAGTCACAGCTGAACTGTCTGGTAGAGTATAATTCAGCAGTTGATGTAACATCTACTATTGCTAAAGTAAGATGAAAACTCAATCACCACAAAGAAACATAGTCAATTTAAAGTTCTCATCACCAGATTAGCATATTAATTTAGGTAAGATTATTTGTTCTTGATTGTCAATATAACTTCTACTCTCACCCTGACAACAAATCATTTCTTGATAAGGACACACTGACAACGAATCATAAGACAGTGTACTTCTTTTCTTCTACTATAGCTTCTTTGAGAAGTCAAAGTGGGAGAAAACCTATTGACACGTTTTGAGGAAATATAGATGAGCTTCTACCATCAAGAAAAAGTCGTTGATTTGCTAACTGTCCATGCAAAGCGCCAAATATCTGACACCATATGCATCCTGATTTCTCTTCCTTGGTGGTCACGCAAAAAGACAGAAAAGGAGAAAATTGATGGTTATGACTAAGCAGATCCAACTATCCTAGTTCTTCGGACTTGCTCTGGATATTCTTTCCTATACAACATACCTAAGCCAACACAGTTGGCAACAAATTTAATTCCACTTTACTACTGTCCACGTGTTCAATTTGCATCAGCATAACCAAGAATTATACCCTAACGAACATGTAAACCACATAAAAGGCTCCGGGAGACCGGCAATGTTTTTCATACTTTGTAACACAGATAAAGACATCAGATATCAGCCCATTCTCAGGATTATAGGTAACATTATGGATGGCATATCCCAAGCATGCATATATAATCATTCCATTGGTAAGAAAATTGAAAAACTTATGCTTTAGCTCTATCCTGGAATCAGCATAGATAACATTTACCACTGCAAACTTGTAATTGCCGATTAAGAGAATCAATTAAAGAGTATGAAAAAAACGCATGAAAGCATATCTGTTGCCCTAAGTATCCACAAAATCCAGATAGATCAAATCATTTTGAAATTCATGAAGCAAAAGTGATGGCTGAAAGTCTTGAGTATAAATTGATTATTGAACTCCAATCTCCATGCCGCAACATCAATGAGAGATTGCACAGAAAATTTCTTTTCTGATGAAGTAAAGAGAGACTGCATCAAATTATATAAGTACTTTACTAGAATTCAGTAAGCATTGCCCTAAATGTGTTCAACATGCGAGAAGGCAAACATATAAAAAGCAAAAATATATGTAGCTACTATCTGCTAGAGTGAAATTAAAACAAGTAAAAATTTCAGATTTAACAACGAACACTAACATCCCCAAACCTCAAGTCGTCAGAAAAACAGCAAGGTTACCACCTTTCAGAAAAATGGAAAAAAGCTATTTCATTTGACTAAATTTATTTTATCAAACCCTAGCTTACCCAGATCTAAAGAGAATAATGACAAAAGTTACCTTTGACCATCAAGGTTACCCGGTCCACTGCTGCCTCCACTTGCATAGGAATTATCCTCAGCAGCCTGCCAAACGGACTGCCACGCCTGCGACGGCGGTGGCTGAACGTACATTGAAGGATCAACCCCAGGCATAGCAGGCCTGCCCATCATCACACCCGGTGGAGCAGGCTGGCCCATTGGTGGGTAATAGTAAGGCACACCACTAGCTGTGGAGCCCACAATCCCAGCAGGCCCAAGACCAACACCACCCTCTTCCTTGATCTCATCCCTCGGAACAATGTCAACAAGGAAATCAAAAATGTCAGTCCGCGTAATCGCGGCAGCGATGTCGTTCTTCTGTAAAGTTCGACGCTTGTTTTCCTCAGCGTGAAGCCAGGAACGAATAGTGAGTTCCAGAATGAAAAGCTCACACGCTTTGGCGAATAAAATGGGAGCTTCAGCGGAGATCATGCGGACATCCTCGTCAGCTTTCATGATCTTCTTGATTCGGGCTAGAGGAAGTTGGTGGTTCTTGAAATCGTTAACCTGTTCGATTTCTTGGCGCTGGTAGGTCCAGAACATCTGGAGCTGCTGCTGTTGCTGCTGAAGGAGGTGGTGGTACGGTGGCTGCGCTGGATACGCCGCTGCTGCTGCCGCCGCCGCTGCTGCATTCGCCGCCGATTGCTGGTTGTTTTCCATTGGCGTTTTAGACGAGGTGGTTCACCGGCGATTTTTTCTATTTTAACACAGAGACAAGAGAAATGGAGGACTTGTCTCTATATATATACAGTGAAAGAGAAAAAAAAAAAATAATGCCAAATATTTTTTATTGGTAATTATGGATTTTTTTTGTGAAGGAATAAGTATTGATGCTTGAGGTACAACTGTAGAAGGCAAATGAAGGAAAAGGAAGTGGGGCCCATATTCTTTTTTAAATTAGATGAAAATCTTACTAATAGTGGAGATTGCCTATGGATAATATATAGTCCTATCTACTTTGTTTTTTTCTTACTGGAGGGAAGAAGAAGAGAGAAGTGGGGACCACATACAAAGAGACTAAAATCACCATTGGCTTATCCTTAGGACCCTTTGCCTCACTATTGTTAGATCGAGGAGGCCTTACGCCGCGCCACATGGAGAGACCACTATATGACACGTGGACTCGCGCTTAAGCTAAGCCATCTCAAGTCTCACCTCCTAGAACGACAAACAATTCATTTAGGGGAAAAAAAAACTTTTAAAACATATGATCATTAAAGGTTAAGGGGTAAATACTTTGTGTGTTTATAAAAGTTTCTCGTTAAGGATAAAGTGGGTAAAATAAAAAATTTAGATTAAAATACTTTCAAATATAAAATATGTTATTCTTTTTGAAACGACTAGTAAGAAAAATATATCATTTAAACTGAAATGGAGAAAGTAGCATCTTCGTTTGCAATAGATGATAGTGTCAATTTACTAGAGTTAGTTAATTTGATGAAGTGAGAAAATATATTAATATTTCATGGTTAATTGAGAAAAGTTATATATGTAAACACACTTTATACTTCTATTAATTTAGGGTAAATATCTGGGAGAATAAATTTTTCCCATAGAATAGTATAATCCCAACATATAATAATACAATATTTGGCTGGATTGCATAAGAAAAAATGACCACCACATCATATAATTAATATAGCCTTTAATTGTGGGTATTAAATAATATGAAATATGAATACGTATAAAATAATGATATATGAACATGTATAAAAAAATCGTATAAAAATATGTAATCGAATGCCAGAAATTTACCTATTTAAAGATAAAATTACTCTTTTAGAGTGATTACGTATAATTTATTAATTAATTATCGCATAAATAATTCTTATACTACCAACTCGCATAACTAACATGTGAGGTAGACATTTATACTATCAACTGGCATATAGTTTATCAGAAAGAAAAGCAAATGAAGATAAATCGAATTCAAGTTAAGTATGTAGTAACAAATATTTGTCAAAATTTAGCTTACATTAATCGTAAGAGAGTATCCATATTCTATTTTTGTGCAAGGCTTTCTTTAGCTGCTCATAATCAATATTTTACATTATTTCACACAATGTATTGTCTATCGATCGTTGTAATAATTTTTTAAGAAGTTATATGATAAGCATAATGAGCTAATTATTCACCAATTGTCTTAAAATTTTGGATTAAGTGCTCATTTGTTTTACAACAATCATGTGACAAGTTAACAAAACTTATATATAGTGTTTATGCAATTAATCTCTTCTTATGTTTTGTTGAGAAATGAAGAAACAAATCATGAGTTGCAACTGAGTCCTTTTCTTTGTTAATTTAACTGCGGTATTCTTCGCCTAGATATGGATTTTATCAAATATTTTTTCTTAATATGGAAAATCAAGTTCGTACGATATTTCATGTCTTGAACAGTCGATTCCATTTTTAATACTCATACAAAAACGAGCTACGACTTAATAAAATAGAATCTATAAAATAATGGATGGTAAAACATTCGTTCCTTTTTCTTTTTCAAAATACATTATGGATTTATTTCTGCCCGGAATCTTTTTTCAAGACTTCCTTTGTTCAGCCCAAAGACGGATTCAGCTTTTCAACTCTATGAGTTCAAATTTTTAAGTTTTTAGTATTAAACTTATTCAATCTTTACAATTATGGGTTCATTTCTATTATTTATTCCAATTTTAATAATATCCACACATAAATTTATATTTTACGTCAAAAATATTACGTTTAAACTTTACATGAATCGGCCATCCTAAAACTAGATCCGTCGTCCCTGGACTTCCGCCAAATGAACTTTTTTTCTTTTCTATTTTAATGAAGGCATCTCGTACAGCGGGGAGAATTAGATACTCCTTATTTTTTTTTCATTTTGTTACATAAAGGGGTACATATTGTATTTCAGACGAAATTGTCTTTTGAGGCATTTCACCAAAAAGTCTCAAAGACATCATAATAATTAATCCTTACACTTTAGGGCACCAGATATATATAAAGCCGTACAAATAGAAAGAGTAATACTATTAATTAGAGTTTATTCTATAAATAATAGGACAGGATTGGTTTAGAGATTTTCCGGAGGAGGGGGAAGATAAACAGAAAACGAAAACTTTTAGAGTCCGTTTGGATTAGTTGATTTGAAGTAGCTGATAAGTATTAGGTGTTGAAAAGCACTTTTAAGTGCTGAAACTGATTTAATAAATAAACAGTTACGTGTTTGGGTATAAGTGCTGAAAATTGATAATAAGTTGTTGCATTATTTGATAAAAAAGTGCTAATAAGCTCTTTTTCTGTTAAAATGACTTAAATAACCTTAAAACCGTTTACACTTATAAGGACGTAATTTCTTCAAAATTTTAGATTCCAGATCGATTCAAATACAAAATATTCTATTTTGTCATTTTATTTTAAATACAACTGTGCTTAGATAAGATAATTTTTATGATAAATATAATTTATTTTATGATAAGCATATATATAATCATAAGTTATAATACTTAATAAATTGACAAAAGTTTCTCAGTAAAAAATAAACCTAAATAGGACAAAATATTTGAAGAGAAACAAACACTGTCTTCACCATCACAACACTTAGAAAGCAATACACCCAAAATTTAATATCCTCATTTATTACATATAGTTCAAAGATTAATACACAATCACATAAATATAAGTATGCAAAGGAAAAGAGATTTGCTTATCTTAAATAGTCAATTAGAATTGCAGACTTGAAGGGGGGGGGGTTAGGTTGAATACTTGAGGCAATGAGTATCGATATAGGAGTTTTGCTCTAAAAAAAATATTTGAAGGATAAAATAGTAAAACTTTTGGTCTAACTTAAAGTGCTTATAAGCTAAAAATTCATAAGCTGGGGATGACCAGCTTATGGCTTTTGGCTTATTTTTGACTTATAAACACTTGGCTTATAAGCAATTTTAACTTTACCAAACGCGTAAATAAGCTAAAAAGTGCTTATAAGCTAGTTTGACCAGCTTATAAGCTTGCCAAACACCCTCTTAGTCCTTTTCAAGTTACGTAGATGCATGTTTTCTCTATTAATTATCACGTTTGCTGCCTTACTGGTGTATTAGCAAAGGCTTCGCGCGGTCATAAAAATAATCCTGTTATAAATAGAATTTTATTTATGGTGAATGTCTATATTTAGAGAGATTTTAGGGTTTATTACTTGGTGGCTAAGTCAACCTCTCCCTATAAATAGAGGGTTCTATTCCATTGTAATTCATCACAAATCAATAAGAATTTCCTCTCTCTCTTTCTCTGCAATATTGCTCTTGTTCTTTTATTATTTTATAACAAATCGTGAATTATAAAATATTATGGTACTCTTCATATCTAAGGAACAGAAACAATGTTACTAAAACTACGACAACCTATATTAAAAGCACGAAGCCCTTAGCGAAATATTGTTCGCCTTTTTTACCCTTCAAAAATAAGTTTCACACTAGACAAAATCGTAATTAAATAATTTTCATAATTTTTTAGAACTTTGAAATCAATATTTCTATCCTTATTTGAATTAGGTAGGATCTCCTAATATTTAGAAATACAAAGTTCAGATATTTTTTACTTATATAAGTTATTTTCTTATTTAAATTGTTAATTATAGTTAACAATTAGGGCGTAAAAAAAATTAGAAAGCCCCAAGGGCGCCATATTCTAGGAGCCCAAACTATGTGATTGAATAAATCCTCCTGCGGGTCAAGGGCTCCTTCTCCCTCCCCTTCTTCAAACTCCGATTCATATTTTTCATAGAGAAATCTCTGATCAAGGATAGAACAAGAGCCGTTTTGCATCATATCTAAGGGATTCCTCGGTTCGGGCCGAAGAAGCAATGTCACTCGATCATTATCAAACTGACTGCAATCTTTTTCTGTCCGTGAAGATCCCACCAGAGCGCCTTCTACTTCTAATAGGCCATGAACTAGATCAGAATCATTCTCAACGAGTCCATAAGAAGTGATCCCATTTTTTTCATCGGGTCCGGATAAAGACCAAAGATCTTGAGCGACCGATCCGGCAGAACAACTCAAAAGATAAAGAAGTATCGTTAATCTCTTCATGCTCGTTCCAAGCTCGAAGTACCATTTGTACAAATAAGAATCCCCTTCGTTACATGATTTCTTCTTCATATAGATAGATATAGGATCTATGGGGCAATTACTTAGAAGTACATTTTGTGCTACAGCCCTTCCTATCTGATAGAAAAGGATCCCATGATCCTGAACCGATCTTACCTGGGATCGCAAATCCCAAGTTTGTCTATGAAGAGCGGATCTAATTGTATTAGTGTCTATAATTGATTTCTTCTGTGTAATACTAATCGATAGGACCTCATTGGTAAGTGCTACAAGATCTCGTGCATTGGAACCCATGGTTATGGACCCGAATCCGTTAGTATGGAACATTTTCTTTTCCAAGTGAAATCCCCTAGTATATGAAAGAGTGAAAAAGTGCTTTCGTTGTTGTGGAAGAAGAAGCCTTCGTNATCGGGCTGCACGCCGCAGCAATATATATATATATATATATATATGTGTGTGTGTGTGTGTGTGTGTGTGTTTTATCATTTACCCTTGAATCAATCTTATCTGGTTTAATTGATTAAAAAATGTTGTTTGAAATCTTAATAATATCATCAATTCTATCTGGTTTAATTGATTAGAAATCATTGACCGAAATCTTTTATAATGTCATGCTTTGGATGGTTGTTACACATCGTTTCATAATGTATTGTA